GGGGGGGGGGGGGGCTGCTTCCGCCCTTATGAGACCCACCTGGGTTGACCCACCTAGTCCTCAGCTTATGACCACAAATGGAGCCTGAAATTTCCGTTGCCAAGCGAGACAGTCACTAAGTGAGTTTTGTGCCGTTTTACGGCCTTCCTTGTCATGGTTGCTAAGTGAATTGCTGCAGGGGTTAAGTCAGCAAAGCGGTTTGTGAAGTGAGTCTCATTTCTTCTGTTGACTTTCACCGTTTGAAATTATAGCACTGAAAAAATTGGCTTATTATGACCATGTTTCACACTTACAACCGTTGCGGCATCCCTGTGGTCACATGATCAGGCAACTTGTTCGTATTTATGAGGGTCGCAGTATTCCTAGGGGGGGTCCCGGGATATCCCCTTTTGCAAGCCGATGGTGGGAAGCCATATCCACTTAACAACCATGTCACCCACTTAACAACAGATACGATCCACTTAACAACTGTGGCCAGGAAAGGTAGTTAGAATGCGGCAAAGTTCACCTGACAGGTGTCTCACTTCATAACACAAATTTTGGGCTCCATTGCGGTCGGAAGTCAAGGACTTAGTTGTATCCTTTGAGCTGCTTTCACGCTTCCCCTTCAATCATTCTGCATAACCAGTGTAGCTTCTGGAAGGTGCCCCCTCTGCAGGAAAGGGGTGGGGTGCATTCAGGGGGCCCCCCTCTTTTCCCCCTTTAGCAGGGGTCCCCTGGACCTCCCCCTCCCCCCGTTGGCAAAACGGCCCCTTGGGAAAGGGGGAGGGCAGGATGGAGCAGGACCCGTATCCAGGCGTCTCCGGGCTCACCCCCTGGAGGGTCCCGCTGTCGTGGCAGACGACCTCAGACAGGCAGGGACTACAAAGCCCATGAACGTCTGCAGGTGTGCCGGAAGCTGGAGGAGACGACGGTAGAGCTGGTTGTAGCACTGGGCCGGGTGAATGAGCTGGTGGAGACCAACACGCGGCTGGACCGAGGTGAGCCGCCCCGCGATGGGCACCAGCCTTGCACCCAGTTCAAAGCAGGCGCCGGGAATTGTGGCGCGGGCCCAGCAAGGCTGCGCCTGGAGCAGGGAAGCGGCAAAAGCTTTGCTCCTGGGGCTTTTGACCACAGGTGGTGGGAGGCCGAAGCCGACCCTCGTTGGAGGGCAGGACAAGACCCTTTCTAAAGGGGCGGGGGTGTCTTCCCACCAAGGGTGGGGGGGAGCTTGACCTCTGCCCTCTGCCCACAGACCTCCAGGCCGCTCTGGAAAAAGTGGCGTCCTCGGAAGATCAGCTGGAGCAGCAGGAGGAGGAACAGCTGGCGCTCACCCAGCGGCTGCAGGAGAAGGCGGACGCCATCCAGAAGCTGCAGGACGAGGTCGCCAGGTGAGTCTTGAGGCGGCCGGATGGTGAGATGGGGGACCTGCTTGGCTGCTTTCCCCCCGCCCCCTCCAGATGTTTTCACCCAGCATTCCAGCTGTTGCACCACCTCCGGATGGACTGACATCAACCTGGGGTCTCATTTAATTTCACCTGGGAATTATTTATCAGCCGTGACCCCTTTAAGACCTGTGGACTTCGACTCCCAGAATCCCCCAAGAATTCTGGGAATTGAAGTCCACAGGGCTTTTTTTTGTGTGCCAAAAAGTTTTTTTATTTTTTAATGATTTAAATACATCTTTGCAAGAACAGTGTGGTTCCAGGGGCTTTACATTTTAAATCAGTCATATCTATAGTCACAAATACTACTTTCTAACATCACTTCATTATCTTATCATTTTTTTCTTCTTGATATTCTCATAAATTCCTTTGTATCAGCCTCTTTATTTTTATTCATTCTCTATCTTCCTTAATCATATATTCTACTTGTTTACACTTTAGTCTATTCATATCATTTCATTAATCATTCAAAATTTCATCTTAATTTGTGGTTATCCCTTAATAGTTCCTCTTTCCATTATTATATTTGCCTCCGTTACATATGTTTCTGTTTTCAGTGTCCTTCCTTCCCCTTAACTTCTCATTTTTATACAAATACATTTTTCGTCTTATTTTCTTTTAGCCAAAATTATCAAACTTCCTCATTGTCTTATACAAGTGGATAATAGAATGTTTAATTCATTGAAAATGGATAAAATAAGTGTGAAAATATAAGAATATTTGTGAAAATTCACAGAAAATGGAAAATGTAACGATAAGAAACTGAATAGGAAAGATAAATATGTAATTACGGTCATGTTTGCATGGAAATGTAAAAACCTGAAGCCACATTGTTCACCAAAAGAGATGTTTGTAAAAGATAAAAATAAAAAACTTTTTACAAAAAAAAAAGAAACATTTAATTCATTAAAAATATACTAATCAAGTCCTGGGAGTTGAAGTCCGCCGATCTTAAAGGGGCCACGGTTGGATTTCCCCAATCTTGGCTAAAGAGACCCCCACCCTAAATGGCCCCTTCTCACAAGGGTTGCCCCCCTTCGTTCCTTCCCTGGGGGTGGACTTGAGCCCCCCAGGAGTCGAGGGGGGCAGAGGCAGCCCCTCCCTCCCAGAAAGTATGGGGAGACTTAGGGGCTTTTGGGGAGGAAGCAGCTGTGAAGACCCTGGTCGTTTTGGGTGGGGGGCAGTGAAACCCTGAACACATTTTCCATTTCACCCTTGGTGGGTTCGCCCGTTGGACAGAAGTAGTCCCCGACTTAACGACGGTTCACTTAGTGACCATTCACAGTTACAACTTCACTGAAAAAAAAGGGGTTTTTCCACACTTGCGACCGTTGTGGCCTCCCCCTGATCGAAATTAGGCAACCGGCTCATGTTTATGACGGTCGCAGTGTCCCGGGGTGACGTGATCCCCTTTGGCGGCCTTCTGACAGGCCAGATTCACTGAACGACCACTGTGCCAAGAAAGGTCATGGAACGGGGCAGAAATCCGCTTAGAGAACGGTCTCGCTTAGCAACCGAAGCTCTGGGCTCTGGATTCTGGTCGTAAGTCGAGGACCCGTCCCGGCTTTTCCACCGGTTTTGGCCTACTCCAGTGTTGCATAAACTCAGCCGGCCGGATTCATCCAACGACGGGGCAGCTTTGCAGGGGGAAGGGGGGGGGCTCTGGCAGGGAGCCCCCTCCCCTAACTTTGGCTTGGGGTGGGGGCTGCTCTTCCACAGGCTGGCACGGGAGAAGGAGCGGGCGCAGCAGGAGAGGGACAACGCCCAGCGCGACGCCCGGGAGGCCTCCGATTGCCGGGAGGTAGGTTGGCGGGGGGAGCTGGGAGGGGGAGGGGGGGAGACCTGGGCTGCCATGGGCCTTATTTTGGGGTGCCCTTCTACCCCCTCTTTCCCCCCCCCTTGCAGTTTCTTGAAGAGGAGAACGAGGTTGCCCGCCGCCAGCTGAGCGAGACAGAAGAAGAGCTGAAGGCCAGCCTCGCCGCTCTGCGGGAACGAAGCGGCCAGCTGGAGGACCTCAAGGACGCCCGCCAGAAGCTCCAGTAAGGGCCGGGCTCCCACCCCTGCCTCTCAGAGCCCCTTGGGGTGGGCAGCCGAGCCCGACCTCTGACCTCTTCTTTTTCCCCCCCCTCCCCAGGCAGGAGCAGGAGTCCCTCCGCGCAGAGCTGGGCAGCGCCAGGGCCGAGCTGCAGGACGCCCAAGCGGGCCTGGAGGGGCTTTCCCGGGCCGTGGGGGAGTTGGGGGGTCTCCACACCCAGTTCCTGGAGGCCGCCGACATTCTGCAGACGGCCAGGCCAGGCGAGGTAGGAGGGGGCCCCCCGTTTTTCTGGCCTTTGGGGGTGGCAACCCGGTTTTCTCATGCATTGTGTGTGTGTGTGTGCAGGGGGTGTGTGTGTGTCTCAATTCCGGCTTGTTTCCCAGGCAGCCGAAGTGGCCCCCCACAGCAGCACACGCACCCCGGCCCGGCACACCCCGTACCGCCCGGGGGTCTCCTTGGTGGAGAGCGTCCTTCGAGCTGCGTCCCAGAGAGGTGAGCGATCCTGGAAGGAGGCCTCTGCCAACTCAGGAAATATTTCTCAAAAAATATTTCAACTCATAAAATATTGCTAGGGTCCTTTTTTTGGAGTTGCCCACGGAAAGGGGGGGGGGGAGCAGTGCGGCCGTTTGCAAACTGAAAGCGCATTCCATAAATGTTTTTTTTTTAAAGATAGTAACTAGGTGACTGAAGTTTCTGCCGCAGAAATATCTAAGTGATGGAGGACTCTGGGCTATGGATGTGTCCCATTGGAGGATAGGAATTAGGATGCACCCAGGCAGTGCCGGACCTTTTAACTCCCAATAAATCCTTTGGAAGTTTGGCTCGAGACTCAGAATTGAAATGGGGTTAAGTGCCGTAATCCTGGCAACCTCCTCCGGATATTTGCCTTTGCACAGATAGTCCTTGACTTACTGAGCCCCAAATTTCCCTGGTTCAGTGAGTTTTTGCCCCATTTTGTGACATTTCTTCCCACCGTTATTAAGTGGATCGCTGCAGCTCTTAAGTTAGTTATACAGTCATTAAGCGAATGCAGCTCCCCCCCCCCCCCCCCTTGACTTGCTCAGAAGGTCGCAAAGGGGGATTCCCATCACCCCACCCCCACCCCAGGAACACTGCGCCTGTCATAAATACGAGTCAGTTGCCCAGAGTCTGGGTTTTGGTCATGTGACCCTGGGGGGGGGAGGCTGCAGTGGTCGTAAGTGTGAAAAACGGCCATGAGTCATCCCTCTTTCCAACGACGCAACTTCGAAGGGTTGCTGGTGGTAAGTTGAGCACGGGTTCAATGCAAGGTCCGCTATTTGGGGCATTTTCTCCAAGAAGGAAACCTCGCTCTCTTTCAGCCCTAAAGACCCCCGGCCTCTGGAGCGAGACCACGGCCTTTATGCGCGCAGCTCCGGCGCCCCCTCCCCAGCTCTCAGGTAGGAACGGTTGGCCAGTGGAACGGCTCGCCACTGGGAGTTGTGGGGGCTCCAAAGATGGAGGTTTTTAAGAAGAGACTGGACAGCCCCTTGTCCTGACTGGAACAGGGCAGGGGTCTCCCACCGTGGCCCCTTTAAGACTTGGGGACTTTGCTGGCTGGGGGATTCTGGGAGTGGAAGTCTTAAAGGGGCCACGGTGGGAGACCCCTGGTCTGGGGGGGTGGGTCTCCTTCTTGAGCAGGGGGCTGGACTAGAAGAGTAGAATAGAAGGGGAACTTCCCAAATTTGCAGATGAGGCTAAGCTGGCAGGAATAGCCAACACCCAAGAAGACAGGCTCAAGATCCAGATGGATCTTGACAGACTCGAACCCTGGGCCCTATCTAACAAAATGCAATTCACTGTAGAGAAAAGGAAAGTCCTCCACTTAGGCCAGAAAAACCCAAAGGACACACATATAGACTGGGTGCAACTGGGCTCAATAACAGGAACCGGGAGGGAGATATTGGAGTCTTAGTGGACAAGCAGCTAAATAGGAGCCAATGTTGTGCAGCAGCAGCCAAAAAAGCCAATGCAATCCTAAAGTGCATTAACAGAGGGATACAATCCAGATCAAGGAAGGTACTAATAGCACTCTCTAAAGCCTGAGTAAGGCCACACCTATCGAGTTTTGGTCACCACACTATAAAAAAAAGGTTGAGGCTCTGGAAAGAGGGCAGAGAAGAGCAACCAGGAGGATGAGGGGACTGGAGTCTCAAACATACGATGGACGGTTGCAGGAACTGGGCCTGGCTAGTCTAGGGAAGAGAAGGACCAGGGGAGACAGGATAGCGGTCTTCCAATATTTGAGGGAGGGGCTGCCCCAGAGAGGAGGAAGGGGGTCAAGCTATTTTCTAAAGCACCCGTAGGCCAGACAAGGAATAATGGATGGAAACTGACCAAGGAGAGATTCAACCTGGAAATAAGGAGAAACTTTCTGACAGTGAGAACAATCAACCCATGGAAGAGAAGTTGTGGGAGCTTCATCCCTGGAGGCTTTCAAGAAGAGACTGGGCGGCCATCTGTCAGAAATGTTGTAGGGTCTGCCGCTTAGGCAGGGGGTTGGAGTAGATGACCTACAAGGTCCCTCCCAACTCTTGTGATTCTGCTAGTTAATGAATTAATCTGTGGGCGTTGTGGGTGCGCCATCGCTGGGGATTTTTAAGAAGAGCAAGGGGGCTGGGCTAGAAGACCTCCAGGGTCCCTCCCAACTCTCTGATTCTAGTTATTCTGACTCCTTGCTGGGGGGGCAACCCCTTTTCCTAGCCTCCTTCCCTGACCGGACTCTCTCTCTGCAGAGATTAAAGACTCGCTGGCCGCTCACACCCAGGACCTGCGCCTGGCCGTGGAGCAGCTCCACCTCCTCGCCAAGGGTTGCCGAGAACACCTAGGAGAGCTGCGGGAGCAGAGGTGAGCATTGGCAGGGGCGCTGGCTGGAGGGAGGGGCTGCAGGGAGGGTCTCACTAGCCCTCCTCCGGGGCGGGAGCTGCCCTGCCCTGAGCTCCTTTTCTCCCGACAGTTTGCAGCTGGAGCAACAGCTGCAGACCTCGCAAACGCAGCACCAGGCAGAGATGGACGCCGCCCAAGCCGCCCAAATGAAGCTCAGGAAGGTGCTGCACATGAAAATCCAGGTGCGCCGGGGAGGGGGCCGCGTGGCCTGGGACACTCTAGCCCTCTGCTGTCCAAAGTGGGCAACCTTTTAAAACAGGGGCCTTCAAACTCGTTGACAGCGTCAATAAGACTGGTGGACCTCAACTCCCAGAATTCCTGAGCTCACAGGACTGGAGGAGGGATTCTGGGAGTTGGAGTCCACAAGTCTTATTGACGCTGTCAATGAGTTTGAAGAACCCCTGTTTTAAGACTGGGGACTCCAACTCCCAGAATCCTCCAGTCAGCAGAGTTTGTTCTGGTATGTTTTCTTTTTCCTTTGAAGTTTGTATTTTGATGTTGTGATTAAAAAGTATTTCAATAGAATGCAGTCTTGGGGGGGGGGGTTTAGCAGGGCCCTTCCCAGCTGGGATTCTCAGAGAGGCCTCCAGAGGTCATCTAGCCAGGCCACCTGCATCCTGGCGCACTCCGTCTTCAGCCCTTGGAAGGGGGGCAGTTGGGGCCTGCTTGTCGTGGCCCCCCAGCCACACAAAGGTTGGGCAGGCTTCGGCTGCCCCAAAGACCCCCCACCCCTTTCTCCCCACCCCCAGAGCGAGAGGGAGCTGCAGGAGCTGCTGCGCCAGCAGGAGGGGGAGCAGTGCCAGCTGAGCGACCAGAAGAGGGAACTGGCGGTACGTGACTGGGGGGCGGGGGGGGCAGCTTGTGGTTATCGGGCTCCCTGCCCTGCCACGCCAGCGACCGACCGGCCTTTCTCCCCCCCCCCCCCCCCCCCCC